CCCCCCACTTCGTATGAAATGCCTTTAAGGTATCGTTCAGTACTTTTATGTGCACAGAGCAATATTTATTAGACTAACGTTGGAAACAATATTTGCCTGGGGTCTTGTTAAATTCGTGCAGAAAATGTCTGCCAGCGCCTATATCATTACGCATTTCTGGCAAGGGCATTATTTATTCATGGCCGTAACAATGGTTTGTAAAACATGTTCAATGTCAAACATCGACGAACGTTACACGCAATACTACCGAAAGACATTTTCGCACGCATAATGTCACTGACTGGTTACAAGCTGTAACTACGATTGGAATCTCCACTCCCCCAACGGACACTGCATGTTTCTAAAAACACTAAAATATTGGTTTTCATGTTGGGAAAAAACACCCACACACGCAACTTTTTGTGCATCCAGTAGAAACATGTCACTGATTTTTCATGTTCAAAGCTAACCGTAGGATAAAAAAAAAATGTGCATTCTTTAAGTTGCACTTGGAAATGCTGCACGCAGCTGCAAGCCTTGCCGAGCCCGTATTACAGCTGCCTCGAGATCTCAAACGGCATTGTCTCCTTGTGCTGACCTCGAATTCACCCTTTAATATGTGGAGCTGCGTGAGATTTAATACATTTCACATATCATCGACCTGCCTACAAGTGCTTGCAGCTTTTATATCTACAGCATAAATAATTACTAAGCACTGTAATAATAGCATCAACAAATCTTGCATTCTCTTTGATTTTAATAATTAGGACTGCTGTGCATACATGTAATGCAATGGAAATGAATTCAGCACTGTCTATGCGTAGGTGGAAGCTACGTCAAAATGCTGAACATACTGCAGGCACAGCTTGCCTCTTCATCCCACTGCTCCAAGCAACAGGTGCATGCCCAGGTGTGATGCTGCTGCTTATCCAGGAGATACAAAAAAACAAGCAGCCCACACGTCCCCTCCAAGCCAGACAGCCAGCAAAACTTGTCTCTTTTCACCTCTCTTGCCTTCTCTGTACTGTATGTCCCAATTAACGTCGCTTTCTCGCTTTGTCCGTTTCTCTCTTCCTCTGCCCCCTCTTTCTACCTCTCCTCTATACATTCCTCTCCTCCCTCCACTGCATCCCACCCACTTACCCCCTCCCCCTATCTCTGTCCCTGTTTCTCTCTCTCTCTCTCTCACCTCTTACCCTCGATCTCCTTATTCCCGCCTCTCCCTTTACTGTCTCAATCTTCTTAGGTTTTTTCGGTAAAGTCACGTGTATCCTGGTCATATCTGTCTGCTTATATGTCTGTCTATAGTTTTCTGGTTTGAATTTTTTGTTGCTATTTCATTTACCTGATGACGATTGCTTGTGTTGCAATCGAAACGTCGTGATTTTTATTTTTATTTTATTAATTTAAATTTTTAACCTACGTGACTTTACCTAAAAAACCTAATAATATGCATCCTTGCAGTCACGAAAGCTTCAAATCTAGAATTGTCTCAATCTCTCTTGCCTCTCCCAAATCCTCCCTGCCACTGCTTGTCGGATTCTCTCGCTCTCCTCTTTCCGTTTTGCTCTTTCTCTCTCTTTCCTCTCCGTTTCACGACCCTTTCACTCTCCCTGCCCCTCTCCTCTCCGTTCCTCTCCCATCTCTTCCTCGCTCCTCGATCTATCTCTACCTCCCTCCTCTGCCTCTGTTCTCTATCTCTGCTCATCTATCTCCCTATTCTAATCTCCATCCTCTCTTTCTTTCTCTCTCCTCTGAAGCTGCCCCCCCCCCCTCTCCAGCAGAGGAGGAGGGCGAGGATGTGCAGGGGGTGCCCTGCCAGGCAAAGGGGCGTCAGAGCCCGGACTGACGAACGCATCAGACACTGGCTTTGGGGCGGTGGCGATGATGTGCGGATGGCGTGCAGTGATTGTGGTGCCGACGCTGCAAGTCGCGGTGCGGCATGTGGGCCGGTGCTTGGTTCTTTTGTTGCCATAAAGGCTGGTATTCTGATACATTGGAAATACTCCAGCGCAATTGCCGCTGGAGGTAATAAAATTATAAAAGTCAAAGTCTCTCTCCTCTGTCGCGTTTACCTGGGATACACGGTCGGGGTGGAGGGAGGAAGGGTGGTTAAGAGGCGTGACGTCAGCGCGCACGAATCCGACTCAACGCTGTGGGATGCGAGCAATGTCATCACGCAGATGTGCGAGGTGACATCAGCACGTGGCACACGCACTTAAACTATAAACTATTTGGTTTTAATTTCACCAGGTAAGACCCACTTTTGAGTTATGTAGCTCTTTTTTTCAGAAGCGGCCTGTCCACACATGATAGCTCGACGAATTGGCTCATCACATGGACATTTAGAGCAGCCAGATACTCTAAACGCGTGATGTTGATTTTAAACATGGAGGGAAAACCCGTAGGACCCTGAGAAAAATCCACACGACCACGGGGAGAGAGAGAGAGACCATGCAAACTCCTAATATAGAGGCGTCAGGTTTGGGATCGAACCCACAACCTCCTGAATACCAGGGGAGACAGTTAACATTTCGCCACCGCGGCGCCCCACTTGGGCGTGGGACATCTAAAGAATCCAGGCAAGAATCCAGCCATACGACGTTTGTTCGAGTATAATATGATTTGCTGGTCTGCAGGAAGGCCTACTCATTCCACATCAGTCGTAGGGGGTTGTTTGACCTTACTTCACCGTGCTGACAGCGCAGATAGGTTGTCGGTGGGTGGTGGCTGAGGGTGGTGCATGGGTGTTCGGGGAGGGGCAGACTGTTTCAAATATCACTGCCACAGATGTTACCCATGACCGGGAATCAAACTCAGGTCACCAGGTCACTACACAGCAACACTGCGCTAACCACCACACCATTGACTGTGTGACCCCCTTCTTGTGTCGTCAATGAACCATTGAAATCGAAACCACACGTGGTTAGCAAAAGTTCAGTGGCACCAATTTCTTTGCAAGGCCAACACAAAGAGAATAAAACAAACATATACACGTGAATGAATGCAATCACCTTTTCAATAGGTTGGAGTTGTGCCACATTGGGGCTTGCACTGTGCTACGAACTCCCAGCGTCTTGAGTTCAATTCTCAACCATGGCTAACGTCAATGGCAAGTGTTATCTTACACCAGTGCTGGATATGTCCCTAATTAAACCACACTTTCCAAATCATGGAAGATACAGGTGCCTAATGATAAAGTAGAAAAAACCCTTTCAACACCAAATCACTATCATATAAGTCTGCACTGCCCCAATTATGCATTTGAATGCAGTGGGTGCGTTAATCAGCAATTAACTCTCAAAGCAATTGGATGGCTAAATCACTAGGAAAATTATGATCTACAAGTTACTCTTAAAGCCATACGAAATCACCATCACTAACCAGCAGAAGGAAGACCTTTAAAATAACCCCATGCGGATGGGGAGGCAGCAGGGTCATCATTTATTTTCATTGCTCAGCACTTTCAAATGCCATCTATGTGCTAGAGATCTATTGAAAGACCACAACTAATAGTTGGGAAATATTGTACGGACAAGTGAAATACCTAGTGTGTGCCCATGGACTAACACTCTCTCCAAGCTGGGTCGGTCTAGAGTCAACAAGAAGTGCATATTGAGTCAACAATGCACTATTTTAAAAACATGGTCAACTTACATCACTATTTACAGTATTTTAATAATTCGCCTTGATGTGAGGTAATTAAGCATAATAAATACATTTGTGATATTGAGCACATCGACATTAATGTGCACATCTTCTCTTTATAACTTTTTTTTGGTATTCTGAGATCTATATCCCAAGTACTATACATTATAGATGCACAATTATTGCAAGTTAAATACGTTTCAGTAGTACTGCCAAAGTGTAAATCTTCAGTTTGGCACCACACAGAGAAAGAGAGAGAACCCCCATTGTGCATTTCTCTCAGCTCTACATCATTTGCTGGCTTGTTTAAAAGTGCTTGCAATCCCCAGGTCCTTTGCACCTGAGCGCGTTCATCATCACTTACATTAACTTTATGTACATCAGGTGAGAGCTATTTTACGCGAACAAAAGTAAATTTTTTCAGGTGATACCTGGGAGACAAACTCACATGCAAACAAGTGGAAACAACATCACGCAACTCAAAACAAATCCACTGAATATTTACCAACAGTTAAAATGCAAATTGTATCTGTACATCGTATGAAGTTTAAATCACTTACATTCAAATGTGATGCGTGTTTAATCTGTGTATGGGGTATATTGCAAAATTGCTTAAATCACAGAGACCAACTAGCGAATCAAAATGCATATCGAGAAAAGGACTTTGCAGTAATACAATAAAATATAAGCAGAACTCCATTTCGTGTCTCCACATATGAATAAAATTATGTTTTAGTCCATCGACCTATGGGCTTTCCAGACCAACATTATCCAACAGTATTTGTTAAAGCAAACAAACTCTGGCCTGGTAGTTTATGTGTTTTGTGTAACTCTAAAGATGATGACAGAACCTCAATTAAAATTTGCCTACAGGCACGGATCATGCCCTGGTACTTAAAATCTTTGTTTACAGAACATTACAGGTGTACACATCGTATAGGGGACGTTCGACTGTGTTCCGAGCCTGAATCAAGAAGGCCAGAACGGTGCATCAGGTTTCAAGTCGACCAAACTCAGGTGTTCATCTTTCTTAACTGCTAAACCGGCATCGTTTATCGTTGTTTTACACAAAAAGCATCACGTTCGATACTTGATAGCCTTATTTTTTTCCGGACGGATTTCTAGGGCTTTCCATTTTTATTACCATTATTATTTATTAATCGACACTGGGTGACGATTGCGATGATGATGATGATACCGATTGAAAATTTCTTCAGAACTGATTTTTCGTCCTGTATTTGTTGTCCCCGCCCCACCCCCGGGCACCTCCTCCGATGAGCACGGTTGGCCACGTACGGTTAGAACGAAGTTCAACACACACACACACAAACACACACAGATAATACAATTCGATGATGTTCGCCCTCACTCACCTGCTTCTCCGGGAGGTCACGGGAGCCGCCGGGCTTGGGGGAGGACACCCGCTCGCACGCGCAGCCCTCGAGCAGATGGACAGCCGAGGGACGCGCGTTCGCCTCGCTCTCGAACGAGAAGAGGAGGTTTTCGTACAGGGCCATCCAGCGCAGGTGCCACCTGCTCGTCTCGGCGCTGCGCTTGCGCACGTAGCCCACTTTGCACGCGTCCCGCCGGGCACGCAGAGCCAAGTGCAGGCAGTGCGACTCGTTGAAGCGCAGTCCCTTCTGCATTCTCGCTGCTGTCTCACTCTGCCTACAATTCCTGCTCGGTCTGGGCTGCTGAGATTGAGAGGCACCCACCGACCAACGAAGGTGGTGGGACCCGGTTGGCTCGAACAACCACCACCACTACCAGCCACCACTACCGCCAACACCTCCTCCCTTCTCCTCTCTCCTTCACTTCCACCGCCAGCGCCTCTTCCACTCCCCCCCGCGCGCGTGTGTGTGTGCGCGCGCGCGCGTGTGGCGCTCACGCACGATGCTTTGGACACAACGACGATCGAAGATGAGGCAGCCAGGACCTGTTGCAGTGGGGAGCCGAAGGACCGTGTGCCGTGTAATTGGTGAGAGTGCAAGAAGCTATCAATCCGATCTCCTCCCCCTCGTGGCCGTCATTTCCGAATAGAAGACTCCGTTGTCTCTCGAAGCGAACGTTTCTATTATACGCGCACGCACACGCGCGCGCGCGCGCGTACACGCGTTCAAGCCACTACACAAAGAGTGTTGCTGCGATAAATGTGAAGCTCCCGTTGGATGAGGTCGTGTTCCGCTATGGCAACTGCGAGTGACCCTGCGCACAGACGCGCACGTGCGCCACGCGCGCACTCGCGCCAAGGATTTGGGATTTACTCCATTAAGCCGAATTCCATCGCCCCACCCCGCGTCCCTAACTCTCCCCATGATACGCCTCCCCACTCCTCCCAATCGCGTGCGTCTAGTTCTCCAGTATACAACAACAACGACGACGTGGCGACTGCAGTCCACAACAGTGCCCTCCTAGCTGCGTTGAGTTCCATAGACTCACAGAGAGATGCGCACATGGCCGCAAATATTGATAGGTATGTCACTAACTGCTACTACACCATGGAACTGCACGCAGTGAAGTGTATAAAGGGTAGTGGCTAATCATGGGCAAATAGTGGGGAATGACTAACAGCAATATCTGCACACGCGCTCCAAAGAAGGGAATCGGACCTTAATATTAATGCATATTCTGCAATAACAAGATTACACATTTACATCCCAACGTGCGTTCAAAATCCATTTATCCCTGCCAATAAAGATTATCATTTTAGTTATTAAAGATTGGCAGTTTGTTCTGCTTGCTGTGCTGTTTTATTTGTTGCCGAAGCAGCAAGCCCTGGTAGCGTTTCTCAGGCACTGTATGTAATGCTGCTCACTCTTGCCAGCAACTCCATGGTTCGCTGGAGTTGAAAGCGCATTTAGGTGCAGGAGACCCTTTGAGTTCCCTGCCCCCACACCTCCCAAGGGGGCACATTAGGGTTGATATATTTTCACGAGGATCAGCGGCAGTAATCCGGCCTGACCCAGCAAGCTGGGAAGCTTGTTTACTTTCCAGCCTCCCCCCTCTGTTCGCGACCATCTGGTGGCAATGATACTGATGATGATGTGAGGACAGGAAAACGCACGAACTTATCTTGAATATTTTGCTCGTGCTGTTGCACACTAAAGAATATGCGGGGACATTTTGATGCGCGCGGTGCCGCAGACTACACGCAATTATGTCAAAGCAATTAAATATGAATACCGATTAAATGTGTTACGCTCCAGGATGGCGTTGCTGAATAAAAACAACTTTTATTTTCCGAGTGTTTATGATGCAAAAAAATAAAATGGGATTTTATTTGCGCGTGTGACTATGTCGTGTTTAACTTTCCGTTTTATTGGTTTCAATTAACGAACACATTTTGTGACATTGTCGTTAGTTTTGTATAATGTGACACAACAAGTTGTTGCAAGAGCGCTTATTAAATGATAGCATCACAAGCAAACTAATCAACTAAGAATGGTACTCATAATACAGTTTTTTTGGGGTTAGATGGCGTAGATATATACATGTGTCGTTAAACCCGCCACCACCCGACACAGCCAATTAGTAAGGTGCGTCACGAAAACAGAATGGTACTGTTATACAAGTCGATATAAAGCAACGTCAATAGTTGAATGTTGATGTTCTTGCAGGCCATTCGTCATGACAACATAACCATAGAGATCATAACGCAGGATTTACACGGGATACATTTTACAGGCACTCACGGCTGTCATATGCAACATTACACGTGCCTCAACATTCCACACTTGCTGCAATGTTCTTACGCCACCCATTCAATTCATACAATTTCCAAAAAAAAAAAACACATCTTACCAAATATTCAAGCACCTTACCGGGAGGGTCATGCTTGGGATTCTGTGCCAGTGTTTGTACTCGAGCCGCAGTGTCAGTTGCACGGTTGCAACAGTTTTTGAGCGATATTGAACATCCTTGCCATTACCAAACACCGGCACATTAAGTGTGGTCGGTGGAGCAGCGTAGAGATGGCTGCTGTTCTTTGTTGAATTAGTCAGGGGTTGCCCAGGGCTTCCAGTGACCCTTCTGATGATGTATATATGAATGTTACTCGTCCTGGGGACTGGAAGCCAGTGTGTAATAGTAATTCAGGCCCCCACAACCCATGCTGTCAAACGGCTGTGTTATGCAGCCTCATCTACAAGGGGGGGGGGGGGCAGATCGCTTGAAGGCCAACGCCTCTGCAAACATGCCAATGGTGGACCGTATTCCAGCGTGCATACCCGCGGCTACACTCAGACGTGTTACCACTAAAGTGCAACACAACATGCAGCCAGCCCATCCCTTGTGTGAGGTTAATTAAAACAGCCTACTTTTTCATTTACCTGCTATCTTTGTTGTTGATAATTGGTTTTTTACCCTTTTATCTGGCAACAAAACTGATACCTTTTTTTTTTACAAGTTTGCATTGACCACAATACCTGCGGTCGGAATGCAAACAAAAAAACACAACTTTGATAATGTATGCACTGTCCTTTAAATTGATTGGTCCACACCCGAGACAGCTTTTCTTAGAGCCTCGTCTCACATGGTGTTGGACCAGATGACGCCAAACGGCGCACAACTCAAAGACAATGCACCATCAGAGTATGAGAGCTCGGGGTAAGCATTTACACCATTGGAACCTCCTTTACCAGTAGCAAAATATGATTATTGGTTTTTTTACCCTTTAATCTGGCAACAAAACTGACACCTTTTTAATAAGGAGTCGTGTTTGCATTGACCAAAATACCTGCGGTCGGAATGCAAACAAAAAACACAACTATGATGATGTATGCATTGTCAATGCAAACATGACTCCTTGAAAAAAATGTGTCAGTTTTGTTGCCAGATAAGAGGGTAAAAAGCCAATTATCATATTTTGCTACTGGCAAAGGAGGGTCCAATGGTGTAAATTCTTACCCCGAGCTCTCATACTCTGATGGTGCATTGTCTTTGAGTTGTGCGCCTTTTGGCGTCGTCTGGTCCAACACCATGTGAGACTAGGCTCGAAGAAAAGCTGTCTTGAGTGTGGACCAATCAATTTCAAGGACAGTGCATACATTATCAGAGTTGTGTTTTTTTGTTTGCATTCCGACCGCAGGTATTGTGGTCAATGCAAACATGACTCCTTGTAAAAAAAAAGAAGTGTCAGTTTTGTTGCCAGATAAAAGGGTAAAAAAACAATTATCATGTTTTGCTACTGGCAAAGGAGGTTCCAATGATATAAATCTTTGTTGTTATTGTGTTAGAAAGTTGAGGATTTCACTTCAAACGTCCCATGCTAAAATGTTTAAATGAGGTAATCCCACGGATTCCTTCACATGAAGATGCACTGAGCTTTACCTTCAATACTCGTTCCCCGCAATTGTGGCACAGACTTAAAGTCGCACCACTCTATGCCTGTGAGATGTTCCTAACTCATTATGAAAAGATTTAGAGTGAGAAAAAAACACCCTTTGACGTGTTTCTGAAATAATGTCGAGCGAGTAGAATTTTCGAAGTTCAAACTAATTTTGAAAGCATAACTAAAGACTGCATGAACATGTACCCAATGTGCCTATACATATTTTATTCATGAGTTTTGAATCATAGCTAGAGCGCCATATACGTTTGTTGTATATGTCTATCAGAAGAAGCCCATATACTTATTTGACTTGTCAAAAAAAAACTTTGTATTCTAAATGTTCAAGCTACATTTTCCATCTGCTGTTCATAATCAACGTTTTTGGGTTTAGATCGCGTTATTTATAAATGTGTCGTAACCCTCCACCACCCGACACGGCCAATCAGTAAAAAAGTGTCACGTTGACAAAAGACAAATTAGTTCACTGCTTTAGCCCACCGGTGTGTTGATGCTGGTTGCAATTACCAGCGAAACGTCGTACTCAAATTGTAAATGTTGTGGTTTTGCGCTTCAACACACCGGTGGGCTAAAGCAGTGAACTAATTTGTCTTTTGTCAACGTGACACTTTTTTACTGACTGGCCGTGTCGGGTGGTGGAGGGTTACGACACATTTATAAATAACGCGATCTAAACCCAAAAACGTTGATTATGAATAATATTGGTCGCGAAAGCCTACGTGTTAATCCATCTGCTGTGTTTATCAAGAGGAATTTCAGGGAGTTTGAATGTCTAGGGTCGGTGCTGCTCATGTAACGAGATACCTAATTATTCACAGAAGGGAAATGCAGAGTAACACACCAGCAACTCCTCCTTTGTATTGTACAGCAGTGGACATCATGTTGGTGTATGCTTTAATGATTTAACGGGATGAATCAGCGACATTCCCTTTATTTTCAGGGACTTTAACATCAATACATACGTTCTCATGTCCTCTAACAAAGCAAAATGTGGTTGTCAATCTTAAACTGGCACTCTGTGCTTGCAGAGAATAAATACATTTACGCACATGTTAGCAAAGGCAGTATATATTGATAATATATCTGCAGTATATAAAAAATGCCTCACATTTATGGTGAATATATTTATTTAGCAATCTTCCAGGTATATGTTCTACGTCTATATCTGTAGAATACAAAAGGGTAGCTACATTCAATGGAGTGGCCTTGCCTGTTAGCTATTGATGGAGGTCACCTTGTGAATATTTTGCTGAAGTGTGTCCTCCAGTGATTAAAATGTGGCAACGGCTTTGTGACCACAAGCTCACGTATGGATTTTCTGTAGGAACCAAAGATTGCCATAGCAATTATATGGCAGCACAACACGAGTGGTTTTGTATGAGCAGGTGTCATGGTCAGTTTTGGGCAGATAGCGTCCATCTACTCGTGCAGGATACAAATGTTTACTAATATTGTGTGTATGTGTGTGTCACTGGCTTGTTATGTTTGAAACTGATGACCAATGTAACAAATGGTCACAACACAGAATTCCTAAATCATTTACTGGATAGATAATCGAAATATATTCCAAGTATAAGTCACTGTCAAGACACAATATTTGTTGGGGCGCTAGTCGGACCTTGAACATTGTTATACGAATGTGCAGACGCCACCATGTAAAGAATTATTCAATATCATGGCAATGCTGGGTTAGGCTAGATCGCAGTGAGTGGGTGGGTGAGTGAGTGGGTGAGTGGGTGGGTGAGTGGGTGAGTGGGTGAGTGGGTGAGTGAGTGGGTGAGTGATTGATTGAGTGGGTGATTGAGTGAGTGGGTGAGTGAGTGGGTGAGTGATTGATTGAGTGGGTGGGTGAGTGAGTGGGTGAGTGATTTATTGAGTGGGTGGGTGAGTGG